AAAATTCTCATACAATACATCTTTAATTATATAGCTTTTCACAACAGATGCAGCTAGATCAAAGCGTTTTATATAACATATAAAAACAATTTCGTGACATTCATGACATTTCGTCACGTCTTGTTTTGGTCAGACAAAATGAAGAGACATTTTCGCATAATTTGTATTTTATAGTGTTATCGTAAAAATAGTGCATTCATATTAAGTGACGTTTGTTATATTGTAAACTATTTGTGTTACGTGTTAAACATATGTATTTTAATTAGTAAACATAGTGAGTGATACAATAAACATTATGTAGCACAAGTAGAAATAATGGGCTGTTTTTTTTGTAGTCAGCAGGTCTGCGGCGGGGCACAAATGCCGGCAGCTCTTGAGTTTCGTGCGAGCGCAAGGCTCGCTTATCTTATGACAGGTTAATTGCAACTCAAAACAACTTTGACACTGCCCTGTGATTTTATCATTGCCATGGCAACACAATCTTCATCTATAATAATAACTGCACACAGGGTCATCCAAACACGCCCCACTCAGACTCCCAGTGTTTGGATTCTGGCTAAACGAAGTACTGGCGGGCTAATTAGTCCCCGTCTCCCGTCTTTATTTGCAACAAATATACTCCCGATAGTGAGCAAACATTTTCTTGGTGCCAATCAAGTGCAAGCCCCCCCGGCACAGAGGTGATGACAGAGATTCCCTTACGGACTCTCAATAATTGACTGCTGGAGGTGAAGAAATAATTACGAGGATAGGGGGTAAGAGGAAAAAAAACATCTGAATCATAAAATCTTTATTCATTATAATTGCCTCTGTTCACAATAGAAATCAACAGAGCGACGAGAAATACTCCAGAGTTCCCAGCACGCTTGTTTGTTTGCGTCATATAATTGATTTGATCTCTTCTCTTGCCTTTTATTCATGATTCAGCCTTGAACAAAAGACAACAAAAGGTTTAAGCTCATCACATATGTGTATGCACACGCGTTGAATGCACCGTATATTGGAGTGCATCACTCAGAGCTAGTGTTGAACATTCATTCAATCTGTCAGCAGGTGTTTCCTCCAGTTACCTCCCGCACAAAGTTTCACAATCAGAACAACGGTTCAAAAGCACAGTGATGAGACCATCTGTCACAAAGCTTTGTGAGCAGCTGGATTTTATGTTGCTGTTTTTTTTTTTTTTTTGTCAATCTATTCACACAGAAAATGTGATTCTTTGCAACAAGCTTTGTTATACCTTTGATTCTCCCGATGCTCAGAGCATACTATCTCATCACAAAAGTGATTTACTTGGTCATGAAGGTGGCTTGATGTTAAGACAAGACGCTAAATGCCACAGACTGGCGAATGAATAACATCAATGTCACAACTAACATTTCCATTTGGGCCCCGAGTGTTTTAGAATGGGAATATGCGCATGGGTTCCTTCTAATTTTGCTCCTGGCAATTTTATGTCTGAACCATCTTTACCTCACGTTTATTTGCCTGTATGAGCTTGCGATCTCAATGATTCTCATGAGGGTTCCAGCTGGACAAATTCTATGCAACCTATGAAGGCCGCAGTTGTGGCTTTGATGGGCCATGTTTCGTCACATGCGTCACAAGTACAAAGTAAAGGTAAACCAATTTCACAATCCTACTAACCATTATACATCTATATGATATGATACATTTTGATTGTGTTTATGCAAACATTTAAGAGAAAGGGACGCATTTTCGTGCCCAGTGCAAGTCTAGCATGATGTGCAGTAAAAATCTGAGACAGCCGAGACTGGGTATTGGTATTTTTGTAGACGCACGCAGCTTAGCACAGCCATTTTTCAACACTGTGGCCAACTTGATTCACCGCTAATAGAAGCAGCCCCCATCATCCCCTTTAAAATCCACCAGAGGTGCATTCCTTGACATATCGGAATGACACTGATTTGCTTGAGTGCTGCAGCAGGTCGAGGCACACAAAATATATTTAAAAGGAACTGCAAGCAGATCTCCACGGGAGAAGTTAAGTTGGCGAGGGAGATCATAGATCTGTGCACTTGGAGACCGTCTTATTTCATTTCGTGTCCGTGTGTGACCCGGCCCTCTCCGATAACGACATGTTCAATGAATTATTTCCTAGAATGATTCAGAGGGTTGGATGCACGCTGTTTTAATATTTATGAATGCCATCCTCCACACATTAGTGGGGGTTTGAATCTGTCTGCCTCAGCCCAGATCAAATTCACCAAAATTGTATTAGACTATATCAACCAACAGTGGGTCCAGCAGCCACAAAGTTAAGTCTCTATTCAGCCACCAAATTATCAGGTACAGTGGACGCATGTCTGAGGAAATGCCCTCATTATGTCAGATTGCTAGCTACGTTGTCAGTCAGTCTTACTAGCAGGGCTCAACAATTTAAAGATACTGTCAAGATCAGCTCCGGTGTGATTGTGCCATGTATCACCATCACGTACATTTTGGTCCTGTATGTGCGCTGTTAACACAATTCAGGGGTTTAACGAGCTCTCCATTCATCATTGCCTGGTTGCCCGCCAAGATCTGGGACGTCGGCCGAAAACAAAATGATGTTGCTCGCTACAAAGAGATGAGATAAAAACGTTGTGATTAAGTGCGTTTGCCTTGTGGGTCTGACAATGTGAAAATGTTTCAGCCTCCTAGGCCCACCACACACATCACTCGTCTAATCTGCCGATCAATCCTCATCATCGATAGACCAGCTCATTGATTAGGCCCCGGGAGACTTTCCATGTTGCTGCAATGTCACGTCATCGTTTAGTCATCAAAGAGTCACGTTTAGCTCGTCATCGTCTTGTTATCGTCATGAAAAATAAAGCAGCGTTACGAAATAATTTCATCATTATTGTCGTTGACGAAACCAACACTGGAAATAAGCAGAAAGAATCGACCAGTTGTTCTCAATCTTAGGGGGCTGCCATTTTGCCTTGTACTGCCACCTGCTGTCCACTGAATATGACATCAGAGTGCCTAAGAGCTCAGCTTGCTTGCACACATTTAGACTAGTCCACTGCAAATTGGACAGTATAAAAGTTTGGGGATCGTGTTAAAAACAGCATGAACACTACTCAATTAAAAAATAGCCTGTGTAGTCGAGAATGTAACAGTGATTTGTTTTAAAAATGGGGTGCCACCTGGATTCGACCCTGATTGGTGTCTATTTGAAATTGAAACCACGCCCTTTCCTGATAATCGAAGTTCACTGTTTAAAGTTAAGACAATTTTCTTCCATATCAAGCTGCCCTTAAAGGGACACTGTGCAGAAACGTTATATTTTTCAATGTTCATTCATTTTAAAAATCCACTATTAATTTCAAAAATATGCAAAGAAATATGTTCCATCACATCAACACACATTGTTTTATATAATCGGATCTATAGTACCGGTAATTGCAAATTATATTACATAACTCACGCCTGACCTTACAGGAGGCTGACATGTTTCACCACCATCTTTGTGCTATGGATACCAGAAGGCGACAAATCACGCTTCAGAAATTTGCTGAATCAATGACTACAGGATGTGTAACCAATGCAATGTTCTTAGTACGTCACGGGGGATTATAAAAACTGTTTGTGATGACATTTTGTTTGCACAGCTGCTGAAGAAAATGGTGGTAGGCTCTCTGAGGCACCGTAGTGCGCCTACTTCAAAATGCACATGCGTCGAACTTGGATCGTTGCAATGCATTAGTTCTATACTAGACAGCATTGAAAAATCAAAACTTTCTTCACACTGTCCTTTTATGGTCGGCAAAACATTTGCATGATGCTACTTGATAAAATGAAAAGCCTCATAACTTGGTTTCCACTTGAGTTTTCTATTTCATATTGTTTCAAAAAGATTTGTCAATAATTGTATTTCATGTGACTTTTTTTTTACTATCCCACACCTAAATGCATTCAATCTAATGAACATCATTTGTCAGTTGCTTGATAAACAATATGCCTATTCTCCAGAATGTAACATGCAAATAAGATGATATAAAAAGCCGAGTATCCTTGTAGGAAGGAATTTGATTCAATCCAAGTGTGTGGGTGAAAAGTTAATGTTCGCATTGTTTAGTTCCATGGAATTTTCACACTCTTCCCCAAACCAGAAAAACAAGGCCTCACCGGTTTATGTATTGAGTTGCAATACTTTTATTTGGCCATGGAGCCCGACAGGAGTCTGTCATGTTAATTTAATGAGTAAAGTAGCAAAATGGAAACACATCACTGCTTTACACATTAATACAAAATTATCCCAATTCTATTGTCATTTGAGAATATAACTTGGCTTCGTATTCAAGACAACAAGAGGAGCCGCTGCGGGTGCCTGCGCCCCCATCAAAAGAACAGTTAACATAAAATGACAAAATAATACAACACAACACATAAGACACAGACAGTCGTGCAATCTTAACCACTTTTCTTGCATGCAGTTATAGATGAAATAGGAGTGAATCAAAGTGTCCTTTTCACCAGTGGATCAAAGACGTCATGCTGAAACTGCTTCAAACAACAAAGCGTATGAGGGAAAAGTGGTTAAGATTGCACGACGGTCCGTGTTTTTATGTTGTGTGTTGTGTTTATTATTTACTTTATGTTAACTGTTTTGTAAAGCGCTTTGTTACAGCTGCAGCTGTTGTGAAAGCGCTATATAAAAATCAGTATGTTTTGTATGTTTTAAAAACAGACCTCACACTCGTCACAGACGGCAGGTTACAGTCCTGCTTGCTCGCTACTCATTGGCTAAAACTTGAACTACCGGTTCTCTTTGATTGGCTTATATTGTGATGTGCTTGTCTCCGATTGGCACGTATACCTTGTACCCTGAAATTGGGTTGTGTATACAAAAACACAGTGCTGGACTATTGATCTAGTAAAACGTTTAAATTTCAGAGGTACAGTCTTGAATATTTAAATTTAAAATAACAAATAGGATTTTAGAGCGGATGAGGATAAAATAAAAGTAAAAATTATTTCGCCTTGAGTGAGGAAGTATGACAGGACATGTTCGCCTGTTGGTTATTTCTTGCCGGAAGAGAGTAACAGACGTACCGGCTTCTTCACAGAGTTTACGAGTCGCGTATTTTGAAGAGTACAGTATATACTTTATTTTATTTTGACCAACAGACTTTTTTTTGCAGCATGGCGAATTTTACAGCGTTTGTCGGCTGTGTCAGTCTCCTTCTCGCGGCTCTGATAAGGGTGGTCTGTGGAGATATTACGGATGGCAACACAGAGCACCTTAAACGAGAACACTCGTTGATGAAACCCTACCAAGGTAGGAAGACGGCAAACTTTAGTTCACTCGTGTTTCCTTTACAATTTAGGACATAGTTTAAAACGTTATACATTTTATTCGTCGGTTTATGTCCTTAATCTGTTTTGTGGATGACCAGTAATTACGTGGTTGGTTTCCACTCATTTTGTAATTCCTTAATGGCGATGTTAAAATTCGTCGCTGAATTTCTTTGAACCTTTTAAAACGTGACGGTGATTTTGTTAGGCGATATAGTATTACTCATCCAAACTGATCTAAAAAATGTCTACACATTCCTGTTCAACTGTCAGAATGTTCTATGTATATCGTAAGTCTCAAGTCTCGAGTCAACTTTATTGTCAAATGTGCAACATACAGCACAGATGAAATTTCTTTCCTCAGGAGAGAGAGAAGCCGCTGCGGATGCCCGCACAGCCATCAAAAGAACAGTTCACATAAAATGACAAAATAATACAACACAACACATAAGACACAGACAGTCGTGCAATCTTATGCTAACTGGGGAGAAACGCTATGTAAAAGCGTGCATTTGGGAAATTGAACACATACACACTTCCATATAAAGTCTGCTGTGCAGGTTAATATATTTATTGGGTTTGTTAAAAAATACACATGAAGAGGACCTTGGAAAAAATCGCATATTAAAATCCAATATTGAGGTGGTGGAGGGGGAGACTCTTAGATTACGTTTCCAAATCATTCAGCCCGAGTTTCAAACCAAAATTAGGGTTTCAAAGTAAGGTTTTAACATGTGGTAAGGCTTTCAAATAAAAGTTTAAAGTAAGCATTTCAAGCCTACGTCAGGATTTCAAGCCTCCGTCAGGTTTTCAAGCAAGGTTTATGGCTACACAGTAGGGTTCCAAGACCAGGATAGAGTTTTAAATTGGGGTTCAAACCCGGGGTTGGAGCTTCAAATTAGGGTTTCAAGACCAGGTCGTAGTTTCAAGAAGGTATGGGATTTCAAATTTGGGTGAGGATTGGGAAACAACAGTAGGATTAGGATTAGCATTTTATTTAATTATTCCATGATCATGCTGGTGTTTCAAACAATGTTTATGCTTTCAAAAAAACGGTTCAAGCCTCAGTCAACCAATGCCTTAACAATTATGGAAAATAAACAATGGTAATTGCAGTTGTTTTTATTTTCTTAACAAACACAATTGCAATTGAATTTATGATTATTTTTCAAGGTCCTTTTCAATATTTTTTTCGAAAAATCAATCAATTAACTCATCTTGATTACAAGAAACAATCTCAGATCTATTACATTTTTTATGATGTTTAGATGAAGGCAAATGAAGCATTATTAAGAAAGACAGTTTATTTCTCTCCTAAAAATAACAGTATAAATTTACTACATACTTGTGGTCTTGTAAGCATTCACCATGATCGCATAATTTTGTCACACAAGTGTGTCATGAACATATATGTTGTATCGTATTTATCATCCAGTTGTACTCTATGTTGTATATTAGGCGTGGGCAGCAGCCCATCCAGCCAGTGGGACTTCTCGGGGAGCACGTTAGTGACCAGCTCGTACGTGCGACTCACTCCGGACGAGAGAAGCAGACAGGGGTCCATCTGGAATACTGTCGTGAGCACTTTTTTTTTCTTTTTAATTGTGCTGGATGGAGCCAAATAATTTACCAATCATTTTTGTTGCATCCAGCATTGTTTCCTCACCTTTTCCTCTGCATTACACTGATGAAACTTTAAATATAGTATATTAGTGTAATATAAACTGTCTTCATAAAAGCTATTTTTCCTTGGGCCTGACTGATTCCGATGTTTAGCAGAAATATAATTCCAATAATCAATTAATCAGATGATTAGTTTTAAAAATATATAATGAATAAATTAACGGCTTTTTTGGTTTCTCAATGCTTCCAACAACTCAGAAATGAATTAAATGCATAACATTAGACTGTTTTAGATTAATGTCTCCTTAAGTATTTCTTTAACATTTTAAACGAAAAGGATTTCAAAGTACAGACACATTAAAAAAAGCATGAACTGAAGAACATATCTTTTGCCTTAGACCATTGATGTCTTCTGCATAAAAGCAACAGAATGAATAACTGACAAAAACATGCATCCATCTGTCTGTCTCTCTCTGTCTCTCTCTGTCTGTCTGTCTGTCTCTCTCTCTCTCTCTCTCTCTCTCTCTCTCTCTCTCTCTCTCTCTCTCTCTCGCTCTCTCTCTCTCTCTCTCTCTCTCTCTCTCTCTATCTATGTATTGCTTGCTATGTATGCATGCAGCTCAGTAAAGCACCATTGCTGTTTTACATGTTGGCGCACAGTCACACGAGAACTGGAACAGTGACTTCATCCTCTCAGGATTGGATTGTCAGAGCTCCATGTAGGGGACAAACGGAGCAAGGGCATCATTCCGCACAATTCCGACTCAAACCGGCATTTACTGTTTCATGAGAAATTAAGACTACATCTGTGTTAAATTGGGGAAAGTCTGGCCTATTATGTTCCTTTTGAAAAGGGACCAAATCAGCCAGCAGTCGGTATTGTCAGTACAATGTTTTCAGCCACCTTTTAATAACCCCACTTTTATAGCTGTGTAATGAAATGAAAAACAAAGTGAAGTTCGCTCTAGTGGTCGTTGAAAGCTTTTTGTGATGTCTTGTTATCCAGCCGTGTTACCTGAAAGACTGGGAGATGCATGTCCACTTCAAAATCCACGGGCAAGGCAAGAAGAATCTCCACGGTGACGGCATCGCTTTGTGGTACACGAAAGACAGACTGCATACCGGTAAGCATGGCTGCTGGTCTCTCACTTTTTTCTCGCTGCTATTTGCGGAAATCTAAGGTAAGTTTTAAGGCATCATTTTTAGGTGAGGGAATTGCTCCAATGTTAACACGCTAAAGGTTCTGTAGCAATAACCTCAGAAGGATTAGTAATGAATTTATAGCTTGCCCTGTTTTAAGGTGCCATGAAACTCTGTTAATGTCAGCCATTAAAAGAGAGAGAGAGAGAGAGAGAGAGAGAGAGAGAGAGAGAGAGAGAGAGAGAGAGAGAGAACGAACCTCTTGAGTGCCAGCCAATTTAGAGCATTATGACTGATCTTTCAAAGCTCACAGAATATTGTGTTTTATGACTATGTAAACACTGCAATTGGCTGGCAACCAGTTCAGAGTGTACACCGCCAACTGCCCAGAGTCAACTGGGATCGGCTCAAGCACGCCCAAGACCCTTGTGAGGTTAAGGTGGTTCAGATAATGGATTGATGGATGGCTCAACTCAACTCTCAACTCAACTGTATTTATAGAGCACTTTCAAACAGCCATCGCAGCACACAAAGTGCTGTACATGGAGCAACTAACATATACAACAGTCAAGCAACAAATCAGTAACAAAGATGGTAGAGAGCACCAAACAGTACAAGTAAGATCATAATTTGGGTCCTGCTGAGTCAAATGCCAAAGAATACGAGTGAGTTTTGAGGCGGGTTTTAAAGATGGGCAGCGAGGAGGCTTGCCGAATGTTCAGTGGGAGGTCATTCCAGAGAGAGGGAACAGCAACGGAAAAGGCCCGATCCCCTCTGAGCCTCCGTTTAGTTCTTGGTACTTCTAATGTCTGGTTCGCAGTTTCACCCAAATCACCTATTTTGGACCAAAAAGCACAGAAAACAAACTTTTGGTGAGATTCTGTATATTAGGGCAACAGTGACTTTTATGCAAATCATTTTTGCTTTAGTGATGCCTCAAACATCTGAACAGTGTGATGAGAATGGGATTTTAATGACAAAATTATATATTTTGAAAAAAAATCAGCAGTGTAAGATATTTACATTTGACAAACTTTTCAAACTATTTGTACGCTATGTAGTCGTACATTACTAGTATTTAGTAGCGTGTGTGCGTGCATTAGGGTGGTCCATTTTGGAAAAGTTTGTCGGATTCGTCGGGCCGGGTCGGAAATCTTGTCGATACTATGACACAAGGATGTGTGCAAAATTTTATTCCGATCGGATAATTTTATCCCGTCCCGCAGAGCGACCAAAGTTTCCCCTATGGAAAGAATCTTACGGGGCTGAATGGTAGTACGGTTTCTCCCGTACAGTAAGGATTTTGTTTTGCTCAGTTCGCACTTGCAATAATTCAAAGACGGAAGACAGGAACGCATGTATTGCAAAAAAGGCAACCGTGGTTATCCTTCAACACTGGTGAGATTGTTGGTCCATGTTAACTGGTCCATCTGTCTATCTGTACATCTGTCTACATCGCGCGACTGTCTGGAAGTGATCCGATCCGTTTTGCATTTTTTTCAGGCCGGGAGTGGTGC